AAGGGGTGCAGGTGTCTCTTGGAGATCCTGATTTATGTTCTTTCATATATACACCCAGAAGTGGGGTTGCTGATCATATGACAGGTCTATTTTTAGTCTTTTGAGGAACCTGGTACTGTTTTCATAGCGGCTGCACAATTTGCATTCCCACCAACCATGCACAACTGAGTACAACAGTGTGCACCAGTCTGTTTAGGATAAAACCAAGTGGATTAAATAAATCCCCAATGTAACAAGATACATTAAGCAGACTGGTCAGAAATTACTTCTTTGTAGGAAGTATCTTAAGACTTTGGGAAGACATACTGGACAGGGGAGAAACTTACACATACAGGTTTCTCACTTAAGAGCCTGATGCAGCCTGGCCAGTGTAATGCAGGGTGTGGTCAAGACTGGACAGCGAGTGCTTGTGCCCCCCTCACCCTCCAGGAAGGCAGGGCGAGGAAGCCCAGATTCTCAAGGAAAAGCAGAGCTAGAGGGCCACCTCCAGGAATGGCTGTTTCTGACTCCTCAAGAGACACTGGAAATCTGGATTTCTAAAGTGTGAAGCTTGTAAACTTTGAAAAAGTTGCAACTAATTACATATTTTGAAACAAGGTGAGGATCAAAGAAACTGTGTCTGTGGGCCATTGCTGTGTGACCTAGGCCCTCTGCTGCGTTTCTGATTATATTTTTATCAAAGGAAAATATTTGATTTTTTTGAAGACATGGAAAGCTAGATCTGAATCTGATGTACTAACTGTGCACTCACACATTTTTAACCTGTTTTTATATATTTATGCCCCAAAATGCTGTTTTAGAAACATTTTGTCATGTTTTCTTTACCTCAAAATTAATTGGGAAAGAGGAATTTTGAGAGCTTATATAGTTGCCATTGGAGAGGCAGAAATTCCAGCTTGTGGGTTTTCACTGTTCAGTGCTCTGTGCAGTTTTGAGATGTGGGTGTGGACAGCTGCTCTTGGAGGGTGGGTCCTTCCCTTTCTGCAGCTTTGGGGCCAAACATGGCTTTCTGGGCTTCTCAGATCATACCTGGTGAAAGCAGAGGTGCCTCCATGAGGGCCAAGTACCACAGAACAACATTACTTTCAGGGCAATTTTTTAAAAACTTTTTATTGGGCTATAGCCGATTAACAAACAAGGTTGTGTTCGTTTCAGGTGATAAGGGTGATTTTAAAGTGATTTTTTTTTTTTTTTAACCTCATGACATGTGGGAGCTTAATTCCCTGACCAGGGATCAAGACCAGGGATCGAACTCGTGCTGCCTGCAGTGGAAGTGTGGCATCCTAACCAGTGGACGGCCAGGGAAGTCCCTGTATGTGTGACTTTCTGAGGCCCTGCCAGACTGCTTTCCACAGGGGCGTCACCATTTTGTTGGTCTGCCACCAGTGCAGAATGGTTCCAGTCCCTCCACATTCTGACCACACTTACTTTCCATTTATTTTTAATAACCATCCTGATGGGTGTGAAGTTGTATTTCCTTGTGGTTTTCGTGTGCATTTCCCCAGTGATTAAGGGTGTTGAGCATCTGTTCCATGGCTGACGGGCTGTTTGCAGATTTCCTTCAGAGAAATGTCTCCTCCAAATGATACTTGGCCTGTAGTTCTGTTCGTTTTGTTGTTGTTGAGTTGCATCCTGGGTGTGAATCCCTTGGTGGGCATGTGCTGCGCAGACACTGCCTTCCAGTGTGTAGGTCGCCTTTTCAGTCTCCCAAGAGTGTCCTTTGGCGCACAATAGTTTTTAATTTCAGTGGAGGCTAATTGATCTGTTTTTTGTTGCCTGTGCTTTTGGTGTCATATTGCTAGGGAATCCCCTGGCAGCCCAATGGCTAGAACTCTGCTCTCACTGCGGAGTGCCTGGGTTCAGTCTCTGATCAGGGAACTAAAATCCCACAAATTGTACCTCTGCAGACAAAAAGTAAAAAGAAAGAAAGAAATCTTTACCAAATTTTGTGTCAGGAGGACTTTACCCTCTGCTTTCTTCTGAGGGTTTTACAGTATAAACTCTTATGTTTGGATCTTTGATCTATCCTGTGTTAATTTTTGTCTGTGGTGTAAGGGAAGGTCCAGCCTCAATCTGTTGCCTGCAGAGGTCTGGTTTTCCCAGCTCCGTGCTTCGAAGAGACTGTCCCTGTTCTCCATGGAATGTCTTTCTATGTCCATCTATTGAAGGTCATTTGAGTTGTTTCCAGTTTCTGACAGTCATGAATAAAGCTGTCATAACGTTGTGTGTACAGGTTTTCATTTCTTTGGAGCAGATACTTAGGAGTGGGTTTGCAGGGTCATGCAGGAGGAGTGTATTTAACTTTATGGAAACGTCCAGACCCTTCTTAGTGTGGGTGCACCACACAGCTGTGTGTGAGAATTCTGGTTGCTTCACATCCTCCTGGTCTTTGTGTCATCAGCTTTTCGTTGGTGCTTTTTAGGCTGTTCTAATAGGCATGTAGTAGTACTCTTGTGGTTTTAGTTTACATTTTCCTGTGGGTTAATGATGTCGAGCAGCTTTCTGTGTGCTCATTTGGACTTCTCTTTTGCTGAAGTGTCTGTTCACATCTTCTGCCTACTTTTAAATTGTGTTGTTAAACATAAATAAATTGTGTTGTTGTTGAGTTCTTTGGGTATTCTGCAGGCAAGTTCTTTGTCGGATGTGATTTGCAAGTATTTTCTTCCACCTATAGCTTGTTTTTTTCATTTTCTACTGTCCTCTCTATATTCATTCTGTTGTAATGTACATATCTCATTTTTGGGGTAGGTTTTATGTTCACAGCACAATTGAACAGGAACCCCCGGAGTTCCCATATACCTTCTCCTCAGCCTCCATCCCTGTCAGCATCCTCACCAGAGCAGTACGTCTGTTGCAGTCCACAAAGCCGAGGTGACTCATCATCAAGCAGAGTCTGTAGTTTACATTGGTGTCACTTTTGGTGCTGTATGTTTTTATATTTTTAAACTAAGACTTAATTTTGGGGATTCCCCTGGTGGTCCAGTAGTTAAGAATCCATCTTGCAATGCAAGCAACAGGTTCAGTCCCTGGTTGGGGAACTAAGATCCCACCTGCCTCGGGGCAACTAAACCTGCATGCTGCAACTAGAGAGTCTGTGCATGACAATGAAAGATCATGCATGCCGCAGACCTGACACAGCTAAATATATAAGTAAAAAGAACTGAAGGGGAAAACTTTGTTGAGTTTTACCAGATATTTACCACATGTGTTGCCTTCCTCCATTCCTGAAGCTTCAGGCTTCTCTCTGCTATAATCTCCGTCTGTCCGAAGGACCCTGTTAAATTGCTTTTAGAGCAGGTCTGCTTGTGGCCAGTTGTCTTAAGTTTCTTTTATCTGAAAATGTCTCTATTGTGCCTCCCTTTCTGAAGAGTCTTCTCCCTGTTGCAGAATGCGGGCCTGAGGCTCTTTCCTTTCAGTATGTTAAGGAAGTCCCTGCCTCTGGTTCCGTGGTTCTGGGGAGAGTCCCGAAGGCCTTCAGGTTGCTGTTCTCTTGTGGGAAATGCTTACCTTTTTATCTGCTGTTTTTGTAACATACTTCCTTTGTCATCCGTTTTCAGCAATTTGATTATGCTCTCGGCATAGATTTCTTTTGAGTTTATTCTGCTTGAAGTTTGCTGGACTTCTTGAGTGTGTAAGTTTATATTTTCCACTACCCTTGGGAAGTGTTCAGCTGTTATTTCTTCTGAGTTGTTTTTCAGCACCACACGGTCTTCTTTCCTCTGGGACTCCGGTGATACAGATGGCCAGCTTCTTTTGTTCTGCATTCCCAGAAGCTCTGTTCATTCTCTTTTCCATCTTCTTTCTGTTGTTCACATTAGATCTTTTGTACTGCTGTATATTTTCACTGCTGTGTCTCTTTCCTCTCTCATCTCCATTCTGATACTGAGCCCATAAGGTGGGTTTCTATTTGTTATTATATTTTTTTATTTTCAAATTTCCACTTGGCTGTGACTTTGTTTCCTATGCCAACCCGGTTAGGACAGCAGGCTCCACTCATGTAGTAGGAGCACCCGCAGCTCAGGCCACTGGGGGTTCCAGTGGTCACCTCAGACTGGGCTTCTTTGGATTATTTTTGCCCTAATTTTGGTCAGACTTTCCTGCTTCTTTGTGTGGTAGATAATTCCGGATTGTCATCTGAATCCTTTGAATATTGTGAGACCCTGTGGAGGATGGAGCATTTTGTTATAGCAAGAAGTGGAGCTGGGCTATGGGTCTGAGCCCCTCCTGTGGGCGGATGTGGTATTGAGTCCTCTCAGCCTTCAGACTGTGCCGGGGTCTCTGTCCCTCAGGTGCCATCCGAGGCTGGTCTGAGACCTGGGCAGTGGTCGACCCTGGAGGTTAGTCCTCGAAAGCTTTGGCTGACCATTTCGGGCCAGGTCTGCACACAGACAGGTGAGGAGTGACTGGGGCCTTCACACATGGCTGGGGTCAGGCCCTTTCCACCTCCCCACTCTCTGCAGTCTCTTCCATGCTCCAAGCCCCAGAGCCGCCTTTCCTGTGCTCTGCCTAAAAGCTGGGTCTCTGATGTGTCCCCTTTGCTGTGACACCTCAGTACCTGGCCTGCCCTGAGCCAAGCATCAGAGGGTGGAGAGCAGCGGAGCAGTGAGTTGCCTTCAGGTCCCCGGAGTTTTCAGTGCCTGCCTGACCGCGACCGTCACAGAGATTAGAGGGTTGGAGCTCACCGGAGGGCAAAGAGGCAAAGACAAAGTAACACCAGGGAGGGTCTCCCAGACCAGAGATGGGGTCTCCAGGGCTTTCTGTGCGAAGCCCTGGATTCCGACGGGACCCGCCTCCAGAGGCATCCACCTGCATCCTGGCTCCTTCCCAGCGCCTGAGTGTGACCGCAGGGCTTTTGGGCCTGGTGCAGCTCCACGGTTCTGCTGGGGCTTCCGCCCTGTGCTCACTCCACTGTCAGAAGGTAGCAAGGTCCCCATGCAAACCCTGTGCCTGCCCTGTTGCCCTGCAGGCCCGGGGCCCTGGCGTCTCCTATCCGCTGAGCCATGGCCACCCCCGATGTGAGTGTCCACATGGAGGAGGTGGTGGTGGTGACGACGCCTGACACGGCGGCGGATGGCAGTGGTGTGGAGGAGGTGAAGACTGTGCTGGTCACCACCAACCTTGCCCCGCACGGGTGAGGACAGGCTCGGGGGGGGCGGTGGCGGAGGGGCTCAGGTGAGCTGAGGGCTATGTCTTTTCTCCCGCTGCCGAGGTCATGGCTTCCTGTCCCCAAATGCATGGTAACTTCTCCTCTGAAGGGTCAGGCCAGTTGGGAACCAGGTTTTTCTAGGTGAAGTGAGGAGAGACGTGTGTGGGGTCAGCGGTGCCATGACCTCTGGCTAGACTGGAAAGCGGGGCAGAAACGGTAGTGGGGCATGGGGCTGGCTGTTGCAGAGGTGCTGATGTCCCCTCTGTCTCCTTCCCTTTTGTCCCTAGCGGTGACCTGACGGAGGACAACATGGAGACGGAAAATGCCGCGGCGGCTGCTGCAGCGGCGTTCACAGCATCCTCGCAGCTCAAGGAGGCCGTGTTAGGTAGGGAGCCTGCCTTTTGGCAGTGGCGCCCGCAGGTCGCTTCAGAAGTGGTTTTGCCCGAGGGGACTATCTTCCCTTCAGTAAGGGGACAAAGGTTCCAGAGGCCCTCCTGGGGCTCCTCTCCAGAAGTGGGCTTGAGGCGCCACGGAGGCCCTGGCTCCAGGGTCCCCAGCTGTGGCGTTGGCCCGTGGCTAGCAGGGAGAGCTCGGTTTGCGGTCCAAAAGCTTTGTTAGTGTAGCTGTCTGTGATCAGCAATGCAGACTCTTACCACCTTTGGCCTTTGTCTGTAGCCTAACATTAAAGGCCTCAGAGCTCTTCCAAATATTAAGAATAGATTTCTCTGTAAGTGTTTGGGTGAAGTTTTATTTCCATCAGTTGGTCTTTACTTTGGGCTGAGGAGAAATGCCCTCTGCCCACCTTGGTCTTGTTTCAGTCTCTCCTGGATTCTGATTTCTCTTTCAAGGTAGTTAACCTTGTACTTTTGCAGGAAATGCTTTGGAGAAGTTGTAACTGATTTTCTGTGTTGCCCCTTTCCCTGTCAACACACCTGGTGAGAAGTGAAGATGGCTGAAGAAGAGGAGAGCCTGGAGGCAGAGATCGTGTACCCCATCACCTGCGGGGACAGCAGGGCCAACCTGATCTGGAGGAAGTTTGTATGCCCCGGCATCAATGTGAAGTGTGTGCAGGTAAGAGTTCCCATGCAGCCAGGCTTCAGGGAGGGACTCCCAGGGCCGCAGCTACAAAGCAAACAAAAGGAGACCCCAGTGGCAGGGTTGTGACCTTGGGGAGTTCAGGAGGCAGAAATCCCATATTTGGGAGAGCAGAAGACAAGCAGGCTTCAGGGACAACAGGCTATCACCAGGGCATGAGAGAGCCTCAGGGCAGTGAGTTCCTTTCCTGGACTGACTCTGTCGGGCACTTTAAACAAGGGAGCTGCTTTGCAAAGACTCATTAGCAGCCGTGGGTGAGGTGGACAGGCGAGAGGTCTGCTTTTCCTGCAGCATGGTAGCTTAGGTACCCACTCACCTTGTGCTGAAAACAGCTAAAAATGCCACTTAAGGCATCTAGAAGATGCCTCCTTAAGCTGGCAAAAGAGGAGGAAGTAGGCCGGGGCTTGAGTAAAGGTGGATTGTAGAGGGCAGCTAACTTTTGCTTGACACTGGTTTCTCAGCCTTGTGGGCAGGAGATGAGCCAAAGCCCAGGGCTCCCAGTTGGCATGTGTTGTTGGGGTAGTGATTGTCCCTGTGATGCTGCTACTTCCAGAGGTCTCCACCCTCAATGTTGGGGGCTAGAAAACATGCTGATCACATTCTCCCAGCCCCCCCACCCCCAGCACAAGGAAAATGCCCCTCCCACATCAGCACTAGGTGGAGTAGGGAGTCTCCTGAGGAGCCACATGTCGCCTGTACAGTGTGAATACCTTTAGCTAAGAGTTTAGTTGTCAGATGGTTCCTGGCTCACAACTCCCCCAGGAATCTGACAAAAACAAATGAGAAATCTTTTTTCAAATAACTCACCTTTATCTCAGGTTTCAAGTAACTTTGGCAGACAAAGTTCCAAAAAAAGGAGCAGCTCACAGTAACGCAGAACATAACCCTGAGCACACAAGGAAACCATAGCACCTGAGTGAGTGCACATAGAGTCCACAGACAGCAAAATAAGGCCCACAAATACTACAGGTTGGAATTCTGAGACACGAAATATAAAATAATGATGTTTAATTTATGTTTAATTACTTCAAGAAATAAAAAGGAGACTCAAACATGAATAAAGCATAAGCAGATATGAAAAAAACTAGAAATGAAAAACAGAATTAAAATCAAACACTAAGTGGGTGGATTTACAGCTGATTAGATACAGTTGAAGAGATAATCAGTGAACTGGAAGATAGAAGGGAAGTTATCGAGACAACTACCTAGCAAAGCATCACAAGGGAAAATGGAAGCACAAGAAAGTCTAACATATCTATCTGACTTCTGAGAGGAGAGTGGGTCTGAGAACTTTCATAACCCAGCAAAGACAGCCACCCGCAGTTCAAGAAACTTAACACATCCCAAACTGAACAAATACGTTCAAAATTTCACATTTTGAAATCTACACTAGGTGCCAGTACAAAGGACCTTACACTAGCTCTGGGACATTTTAGCATCAGAATAATGAATGATGGTCATGGATTATAATTCAAGTAAAAATAAGAATCTATCTGCCCATATTTGTTGCAGTATATTTCATATCGTTTATTTACATCAAACAAGGAAGAGTTAAAACTATGCCAACTAGCAAACATAGATGGGGTGCTGGAGCCAGAGCGCTGTGAGGAGGTGCTGCATCTAGTCAGGGGAAGCTGGTCTCCAGGTACCCCCATCACTAAGGTGCTGCTTACAGAGGGTGAAGCCTGTAGATCACCCACTAAATGAGTGGTGATGTTTGGGCATCAGTGTTGGGCCAGTTTCCGCCACAGCCTCCTGATGGAGTGGGCAGGGGTTCTGTGGCATTTCCTGACACAAACACACAACCTGGTTCTGCTCAGGAAGGTATCAGACAGACACAAACTGAGGGATGCTATCTTTGTCTGTAGAAACAGACCTGCATGCTTCCCAGATATTGAGATCAGGAAGGCATGGTGAGTCTGAGATGCTCCTGTAGATTAAGGAGAAGAGAGACAGGGCAGTCAGTACAGTCAGACAGGTGTGAGTGGGACCAGTTAGCACACCCTGAGTGTGGAGCACACCTACCCAACCAGTAGAGGAGAACCTGGTTCCTCAGAGGGAGGCGGGACAGAAAGTGGTGGCAGGATGTAAGGGAGAAGTAGGCCATCAGGTGGTGCTGCAGTGTCAGGTGGGGGCAGCGCAAGAGAAGGCATCACGTAGTTGGGGGGCACTTTGGGTCCAGCATGGACTTTCTATGCTTGGGGAATAGCCAGAGAGGGTGCTGACTATCCCTGCCTTCCTGGGCTCAGAGGTGGCTCCCAACCAACCAAGGCAAGGGGTAGAGTGGCTTCTTGGCTTGGAGGGACAGTGCTCAGGCTCAGGAAGTCAGGAAAGTCGCTTCCATCAAGAGGGCTTCCCAGGCTGGTTGCAGGCAGCCTTAGAGAAGGCAACCTTGCAATAGAGAGTCACACACATTTTTTGTTTTCCCAGCACATATAAAAATTATAGTTGCACTGGACCGTGTTCTGTTAGTGGTGTCATAGCATTGTGTCTAAAAACAGTGTACATGTCTTTAGCTTTATTGCTAAAAATGGTAACCATCATCTGAGCTCTCGGAGTTGTGGAAGTAGCATTGAAGATCACTGATCACAGATCACCATAACTAATGAAAATGTTTGAAATATTAGGAGAATTACCAGAATGTGACACAGAGACTTGAATTGAGCAACTGCTGTTGAAAAACAGCACCGATAGGCTTGCTTGAGACAGGGTGTTTGCAAGCCTTCAATTTGTAGAGTATGTACTCTTTGTGGAGTGTGACAGAGCAGGTGTGGCTTGTACGTGAGCTGAGGCAGTTTTGCTCCAGTGGCAAACCCGAGACAGACTGCAGGGCCCGTCAGGGCAGCTGCCCTGGGAGGGGAGGCCCTGGGGCATCTGGCACCCTGGCCAGGTTCAGCCATGTGTCCAGGCCATGTTGGAGCTTTTGTTTCTGCCTCTGCTGCGACTGTGACATATCCAAACCCCCTGCTTGTGCTCTATGTCAATGCAGTTGTGTGTTGGTTCTTCGGTTCCAGTGCATGCTTGTTCTACAAGACTGAGTTGGATACTTCACCTTCTTAGGCCACATTTGGGTGAAACTAGCATATGCGCAAGGAGGGAGGGCAGTTCCCTGACTTGAATTGGGCATGTGCTCCTGTGCGATGAAGGGTGCTGTTAGGGCTGGGCCAGGCGGGCTGAAGGGGTGTTCACAGCTGACCCTGTGACTGTGTCTCTTGTTACTTGATGGACTGTATGTGAATGTTATTTGTGGAATAAGTTACATACAAGAAAGTTTGCTGCTTCCTGTCCAGAGGGAGAGAGCGCCCTGCGTTTCAGAGTGGGGTGGGCTCCCCGGGTCCCAGGCACTGGGTATCTGGTTGAGGGAGAGCACCGAGCTCCCAGCTCCCTCCCTGCTAGGGGCAGCACCTGACCATCCACTGGAGCAGAATAGGGCCAGCACCTCACTCAGGCCCTGCAGCTCAAGCATCAGGCTTGGCTCAGCTGGTGGTTCTTCCTCCCACCTCAGTCAAGATTGCCAGTGGCTAAATCCTGGATGTCCGCCTCCACGGTGGCTGCCCTGCCATCCACCGTCTTTCCCAGGCTGGCCCTGGACAGAGGGTCAGGCAAGAGAGGAGGGCATCGGGGAGGCGCTCTTGACCCTGCTCTGCTCTTCTGTCCACAGTACGATGAGCACGTCATCAGCCCAAAGGAGTTTGTGCACCTGGCCGGCAAGTCCACCCTGAAGGACTGGAAGCGAGCCATCCGGATGAACGGCATCATGCTTAGGTGGGCGGGGCGGGGGTGGGGCGGGGCGGAGGGAGTGGGGCCTGCACAGGACTGGCCAGGGACCTTCCATCAGGGAGTACTGTGGCCACTCTCTCAAAGAGGGCCAGCCCTCGGTGCTGACCGAAGTCTCCGGGATAGCTGCCTCCCTCTGGGTACCAGCTGCTGTGGTTGCACTCCTCGTGGACAGAGCCACACACAGGCATCCCTACGCTGCTGAGAGAGTGGTGCTGGGGTGGAGCACAGGCAGGCCCTGAGCCTCCGCAGCCTTGTCACCCTGTGTGACGCCCATCCTCCTCCATGCAGGAAGATCATGGACTCTGGGGAGCTGGACTTCTACCAGCATGACAGGGTCTGCTCCAACACCTGCCGCAGCACCAAGATCGACCTCTCTGGGGCGCGCGCGTCCCTGGGCAGCCCCACGCCCACCGAGTACATCCCGCTCACGCCGGCCACCGCTGATGGTAGGTACCACGTGCTGGGCTCCCTCTGCTGCTGGCTGCTTGAGTGGGGCCTGCAGTCAACTTGGCTGTCCCTTCTGGGCCCCAGTGGTTTGCACCCACCTCCTCCTTCCTCACCGAGGAAATCTAGCTGAATTGCTATTGTACCTACAGGGAAGATTGAAGGACTTTATTTTCTTAAGCCATTCTTATTATATATAAAATACAATGATTCATAGGTGGAGAAGAGCATGAAGATTAACAGGGCCAGCGTCCAGTGCCCACCACCAGCTTTGCCCGTTTTGGGGAGCGCCCTCTGCCCTTGCCCTGGAGCCTCTCCCATCAGCACCGGTCTGGGCTTGTGTGTGCTCCCTGCCACTTGAGTTGCTGTGTTTATAGTGCTCTAACTGGTAGAAGGCCTCCGTGTTCCCTGGGATTATTTCCAGATGTTTGAGCACAGAGATACTTTTTAAAACAAGTTGGAGTGAAATCAAGTCCCAGTTTCCCTGTTCATGTTGCCCACTAGTAACTTGATGGTGCTACCTTTCCCATGATGGGAATTAGGTTGCCCCTCAGCTGTTGCTCCACTGGTCACTCTGGGCCTGCTGCCATGTGGCCAGGGACTGTCCTCACGGCTGACCAGACAGTGGTTGGTCGAGAGGCCTTGTCCTTCTCTTGGGAAGCTGGAGGGGAGGCTCGGGGGCATAGAGAGCTCCTGGAGTTCACCCTGAATAAGTCGCTGTACCCTACCTGCCCAGACTGGCAGCCAGCTCAGTTGGGGAGTCCTCTGGGAGATCCAGGAATGTGCAGGCTGCCAGCAGTTGGGACTGGCCCTTGTTGACTCTTTCCTCATCCAGTGGTCACTGTTTGCAGTTATTGGGTGGTGGCCTGGCCCTGGGACAGCATGACACAGTGTGGGAGGGGCTGGGTCATGGCAAGGCCCCTGCCCTCAGGAGAAACAGGGGGACACCACTCCTGGTGGGCTGGTGGCTTCTGTGGGAACAGGACCTCCTCTGGATGATTGGGTTCACACTCTTCTCTGCCTTGTAAAAGGTGGCCGCAGTGGCTGGTCTCCAAGAAGGCTCTGAACACTGAGCCTCCAGTCAGAGTGCCATGTCCGGTAAAGGCCACATGGGGTTTGGGATTTAGCTCTTAGAATTCTGTTGTCTCTAGATAGTTTGGACAATCTGTTGCTTTACTTAAACTTACCTCCGTGGTGGTTGCTTCAGCCAGAGTCCTCAGACCACCAGAGTCACCTATTGTGTAGTTAAAGGTTCTATATCAGTCCAGACTATGAAAAAGCTATTTCAAGCATCTGACATTCCCCAGCCTGATATCTTTGTCGGATGTGGAAAAGGTCGGCATGAGGTCAGAAAACTCAGCCAGAAGTTAGGATGCTGTGCTTGTTCCTAAGCCCCAAATGGCCAGATCCAGACCGTGTCCAGGACTCTGAAGACACTGGAGACAGGTGAACCAGCCTGGGTGGCTTACACCTCTCAAAGTTCCACCTCTTCTGATTTACAAGAAAGAAACGTGGTAGCTGTTGAGACAGACAATAGTGTCAGTGAAACAGAGACTTGAGGGGCTGCTGAGAACGGGCCAGGCAGGAAGGCTGGATTGTGGCCCCTGGCCGGTAGGTATGAAGACTCGTCATAACTGACAAGGACAGCAGAATATTGAGGACATGGGCCACAGCTTTGAGGAGACATTTTCTAGGTCCTTCTTTGTCCATATTTAGCAGTGAATGTATAATGTGTGGATCGTCTGTTGTGCTTATACACGTTAATTAATTTTTTGAAAGTGGGGGGTATGAGGGGGGTACTGTGGTGGGTGGGATGCTGGCCTGTCGCCAGAAAGGCTCACCAAGCTCATCTTGTTTGCAGTGAATGGGGCTCCTGCAACCATCACCATCGAGACCTGCGAGGACCCAGGGGACTGGACCACAGCTGTTGGAGGTGCGGGCCTCCCTAGGCTTCTCGCTGGGGGGTGGGGCTCCCACCTGCTGCTGGCTTCGCCCTGGGGACTTGTGGGTTGCCAGGCATTGTCTTGGTGGATGCACAGGGCTGACCCACTGGACTCCCACTTGTGGTTGGGGTGGGGGAAACACTCACAAGGCTCCCCCAGAGCTGTGTCCTCCTGGCAGTTCTTTACTCCTCCCTGTGATAGAACCAGAGGGGCTGCCTATGCAGGACTCCCTATCTCTGAGCCCCTCCTTCTGTCTCAGATGATACATTCGCCTTCTGGCGGGGGCTGAAGGACGCAGGCCTGCTGGATGAGGTCATACAAGAGTTCCACCAGGAGCTGGTGGAAACCATGAAGGGCCTGCAGCAGCGGGTGCAGGACCCGCCCCTGCAGCTCCGAGGTGAGCCGTCTGTCTGCCCTGGTCTGTGGGCCCCAAGGCCTCTTCTGACTCGGCGTGGTAGGGGTGGCCTCTGGATGCTGGTGAGTGTAACCTGCTTCTTCTGGCTCCGAGCTGGCCCAGCAGCATTGGCAGGGGTGGGCAGTTAGCCTGCTCCCTCTGGATCCCTCCTTGCTGCTGGGAGGAAGCCAAGCCCTAGACCTGCTGCACCTGGTCCTGCACCTCAGCAGGTGGCATGGAATGCCCCAGACCTGCTGTAGGCCAGCCCATTCTCACGGTTTGCCTGCCCTGCCCATGTAGACGCCGTCCTCCTCAACAACATTGTACAAAACTTCGGCATGCTGGACCTGGTGAAGAAGGTGCTGGCCAGCCACAAGTGTCAGATGGACCGTTCTCGGGAGCAGTATGCCCGCGACCTGGCAGGTACACTGGCCTCGGCTGTGCCCACAGGTGCTTGGGTGTGCAGAGGTAGGCACGGGGTGGATGACAATGGGACGGCCCCAGCCAGACCTCCCCCAGAATCGAGGGATTCACCCTCGACCCCACGCTTTGCCTGTGAGGTGGCGCCTTCCCAGGAGTTGCCTGTGGGTGTATGTGAGGCAGGCTGGTTCTGTAACCAAGCAGCTTGCCTGCAAACGTTAGCATGAGCAGAGTACATGACAGAACAGGGAAGGCTGCCCCCAGTCGGGCGGCTTGAGCCAGCTGCTCTCTGCTGCTTCCTCAGAGCAGCGGGTCCCCTGCAGAGAAGACCCTGCAGACAGCATCCCCACGAGCACATGAGGTCAGGCCCCAGGCCAGTGCAGGCTCTTGTCTGGCGGTGGTGGGTGGTCTGACGCCCTGTGCCGGTCTGACGCCCTGTGCCTGCCCCGCAGCCCTGGAGCAGCAGTGTGACGAGCACCGCCGGCGGGCCAAAGAGCTCAAGCACAAGTCACAACACCTCAGCAACGTGCTTATGACGCTCACGCCGGTCTCCCTGCCGCCCCCTGTCAAGCGGCCGCGGCTCGCGAGGGCCACGTCCGGGCCGGCCGCCATCGCCTCGCAGGTGCTCGCCCAGTCTGCCCAGATCGCCCTGACCCCCGGCGTGCCCGTCTCCCAGTTCACCAGTGTGCCGCTGGGCAAAGTGGTGTCCACCCTGCCCTCCCCCGTGCTGGGCAAGGCTGCGCCCCAGGCCGCTCCAGCCAGCTCCCCCGCCTCGCCGCTGCTTGGCGGCTACACGGTGCTGGCCTCCTCCGGCACCACCTTCCCCAACACGGTGGAGATCCACCCGGACACGTCCAGCCTCACGGTCCTGAGCACGGCCGCCATGCAGGACGGCAGCACTGTGGTCAAGGTGGTGAGCCCATTGCAGCTGCTCACCTTGCCCGGCCTGGGCCCCACCCTGCAGAACGTGGCCCAGGTGTCGCCCGGGGGCAGCACCATCGTGACGGTGCCCACGGGGACTGTCGAGAGTGCCGTGGCTGCCCCGGGACCTGAGGAGCACACAGCCACCATCGAGGTGGCCACCATGGCGGAGGGCCATGAGCACAAGTAGCAGCCAGTGGAAGGCGAGGCCCCATGTGGGCACTGGGCTGGCCGCCTCTCCTCAGGCTGCAGGGGCACAGCGCCGGTGCCCATGGGCCACGCGGGGCTGCTGAACCAAAGAGAGGAAACGCCAAAACAGACGGAGAAGAGAGGAGAGGCGAGGGACGTGGAAGCAGCCTGGGATGTGGGGCTCTGAGCTCTGAACCTCCTCCCCTGTTTTCCTGGGAAATATATTTTTCCATCTGTTGCTTATTAATACTGTTTACACGTGGGGCCTTGGTGAGGAGCCAGGTGGGGGGCCAGGGGCCCAATGCAGCTGGCAGCAGGGGCAGGGCAGGGGCAGGGCCTCGGCCCATAGCTGGGGAGCCTGTTACTAACACGTGTCTTGGGAACTGTCCCCAAGTGTGGAAACCCATGGATCCTATGGATTTGGTTTCTTCCCACAGTTTTCTGTAGGTTTAGTGTGGCCAGCACTCTGCTCTCCCATCTCTGGCATAAGCATCTGTGGTGCTGCAGGTCTGCACGTGGCTCAGGGGCCTCCAGGGCCCCCAGGGGTTGGGGTGCAGGCCCTGGGACACCCGCCTGGCCACAGGGACCCAGGGGTCCAAGCAGCACAGGCAAGAACACCCCCCCCCCCAATTCCTGCCCACAGATGCTCAGGGGCCATTGCACATGCTCTGTGGGTGTTTCTAAGTGAACCCCTTAGTAGGCTCCAACAAAGAGTCACGTTTATCGTGTTTTCAACCTAAATGAGGCAGAGTGCCTGGGCTCCCTGATCTGCTCTGGTTTCAGGAATGTCTTCTACACAGGGATGGTTGAGATGGCCCTGGGGGCAAGAGGCAGGTGTGCCCTGTGACTTTTCCTGGGGAGGACACATGGAGAGAACGACCAGGGCCACTCCACGTCCAGTGGGGACATGCCTCGGGTTGGGGCTCATGGTCTGATGTTCAGCTCCGGGCTCAGCTCCATGCTGGTGGGCCCCCCCAGAGGTGGGCTGACACTGGTGCCCCAAGGCATCTGGGACCAGCATGGATGAGGTGGCACCCAGGTGCTCGTGGGGAGGGTGTCCGTGGGCTGGCCGGCCTTCTGCTTTTCTGGTCTTGGACTTGGAAAGACCAGGGAGGGGCTGCTCTGCAGGCCTTGAGCCACTGCAGGTGGGGATACCCACGGCCACCCTGGGCCTCCTGTCCATCTAACACCTGTGGAGACCCAGAGAGAAGCCTCTGCCCGCCTTGCACTTTGAAGGGAACTGGGCTCCGTCCATTCGTCCTTCCGTCCGTCAGGTCCCCTGGACCCACCTCAGCGCCCTCACTGAAGCTGTTTTGTTTCTGTCATGTCTGGTCGTCTGCCGTTTCGGGCGTGCTGGTTTCAGCGCAGTGTCACTTCCTTGTTTGTTAGACGCTTCTCTTCCAGGCGCGTCTCTGATACATGCAGTTGAGCCTATGGACGGGGCACCTCAGCCAGTCCCGCGTCCGGCTCAGATCATATCAGAACAAGTTGCTAGTGAAACTGGGCATCTTGTGCTTGGAACCTTGACCATTCAGACCTGCTACGCCCTGAAAAGCTGCCTCTGCCCGCCGGCCATGGGGCACTGGGTGGAAAGTTCGTTTCAGAGCCATATAGACAGAACCGTGACGGCTGCTCCCAGACACGGTGCCTGGGGGCGGAGCTCCAGGTGTGGGAAGGGGCCCACTGTCCTCCAGGAACCTTCAGCCCGGTGTGGGGATCGGGCCATCTCGCTGTCAGCGCCCTACCCTTCCCCCCATCAGGCATGCGGGGGGCTGTTCCGGGCTCGGGCTCCGGGAGGCAGGATTGGATCTGGGGGGCTCGGAGGCAGCCTGGTCAAGGGACACCTCTGAGTTCTACTTTGTACGTTGTTTTGCAAGTATCTGCTTGGTACTTTGATTTCAAATAAAAACATTTTTCATAAACTGTGTCTGTATCTTGTGATGAAGGGCAGTGAGTGGATGGATTTCTAGCAAGGACCACTGCACCCAGCACCTGAACCAGGCAAGGACCCTGACTCAGGGCACCTGCAGCTTCTTCCTTTACAGTTCCAAGCTGATAGTGGATCTCAGTTCCCCTGACCCAGGGGCGAAGTCAGTCCCCCCTATAGGGGAAGCATGGAGTCAACCACTGGGCTGCCAGGGAGGTCCCAAGTTACTGAATTATAAGATTAAGAAACTACAGTTCTTTCTCAAATTTGTGTATTTTGAATATTTTCTTTCAGTCAACACCTTGCCTTTATTTTCACTGACATTTGTTGAAGAGCAGGCATGTTGGATATTTATGAAATCCAGTTTATTGACTTTTTTAGGGGTTTTCATGTTCTTAAACATTTGCCTACCCCAGGGCTGTGAAGATTTCATCTGTTTTGTATAAAATATAGTTTAGCTTTGACATTGAGATGATCCTCTCGAGTTAATTTTTGTGAGGGTGAGTCAGGGACTTCGTTTATCTGTCTGAGGACCCTCGGTTGGGAAGGTTGTCCTTTCTGTGTCTTGGTGCCCTTTTAAGACCAGTTGACTGCAGGTGCAGGGGTGGTCATCCTGGGACCCCTGTCCTCCACCCAGCCCTCTCCTGAAGCTGGCAGTGGCTGTGTCCAGTGCTCTACATGTTCTCCAGGCAGGAACATCTCCCCGGCAAGCATCCACCACGCAGGAAACGTTCCATCAGAGACCAATCCCCTCCTAACGTTGTAGATCCTGCGGACACCCATTGAGCCATGCAGCCAGGAGTGGACCTCCCCTGAAAGGTGGCAGGCAAGTTGCAGGTGGAGATTCGAGGCCCAGAGGCCAGAAGTGTGGACATGAACCTCTGGTCTCAGGAGTAAGCCTCCCTGTGTGTCCAGGAAGGACGTGGGCTCTGGCCATGAGGCCCCAACTGGAACCCCAGTCTCGGCAGACGGTATGCACTGGCTTTGGTCTCCAGTCTGCATGGTCAAGAGGGATGTGCAGCTGGACTGAGGCACAGCCAGTCCGACAGGGTGCACAGGTATCAAGCCTGGTGTGGTAGAGAGGGCTGGGTCAGCTGGGGCTGCAGCCCCTCCAGATCACTGAGGCATGGAGCCAACCCCTCCTCAGCCTGGAATCAGGGAGGGCTTCCAGGAGGAAGAGGCATTGCAGCCCCGAGGACCTCAGTTCCACAGTCAGGCAACTGCTTGGAGAGGTGGTGTGAGAGAGGGTCATGGGCAGAGGGTGGACGGTGGGCCTCACCATGATGAGGGTTGTGCTTACAAGTCCCAGGTGCAGTTTGAAGCCTGGGGCTGTGAGTGCAGGGCAGCGAACGGATCTAGAGAGAGAAGCTGGTGGGGCAGAAAGCCTCAGGCACGAGGGGCGGGGCAGACGCAGACCTGTGCCCTGACCTCCAGGGCTGCACTGGGAGGGTGCTGTGGGTCAATTACAACCTGGCACCTGCAGTGGCACCATAAGGAAGGTCCTAGAAGGGGCCAAGGGAAGGAGCCGTGGACCCCGGAAGGCCAGCCACTCAGAACCCATGCATTCTTCCCTTGGCGAGCCCTCACCCCAGTATTCTGGGCTCTGGATCAGTATGACCAGCATAAACCTCCACTCAGGTCCCCTGGCTGGCCCCTGCTCCTCTCCCCTCTAGGCTTCTCATTCCCATGCCCCACTCTCCACTGCTGTGGATCCCTGGGAACCTTGGGGTGACTCCATCTGCAGGACACCCAGGAGGGCGTCCCCTCCCCCTACCATAGCCACATGATGCCACAGACCGCGTGACAGTCTGGCTGAACCCTTGGCTGGTACGCGGCAGCAAGCAGGTGCCTGGAGAGATCTGGGAGGGGAGCCCTAGGTGAAGACACCCCGACCCTGCAGAAGACACTGTCCATATCTAGGGAGGGAGGGTGGTGCTGGGCCCTCTTACCCAGTTGAAGTCCCCTCTCTCACCAAACTGCTTTTCAGTAGGGCAGGGGCTTTGTTTCTGACCCCCTAGCCCTGGCTACACCATATCTTCCCAGGGGTCTGAAGTCCTAATAACTGCTCTGGTGTGAGCAGTGGGCAACGGAAGGCTGGTTGGCCATGCACTGGGGGCAGCTCTGGGCCTTCAGTCTTCTTCAGCCATAGCCAGGGTACACGGTGCCGTTCCTCCTAGACCTGAGCAGGACCAAGTTGCCAGAGCAGGTAGCCACCGGCATCCTCCTCACCTTCACGAAGTGGTTATGTGCACAAGCAGCAGCAAGCTGCTGGCAGAACTGACCACACTGGAAGGCGAGGACAGACTCGGTTGCCCACTGGCCTGGATCTGGGCAGGGTATCCTGCCAGTCTCCCTTGCTAGGATCCTCATCCACCTAAGGATGGAGGTGCAGATGAACTTCAGCTTCTTTTGGGGAGAAGATAATACTTTTATGTTCATTAAAAACAAAATAAAATGTGCTCTTGGCCTTGGGCCCCCTGGCCTTGACAGGCACGATAGTAACAGTGCCATGACTGCCCCCAATGAGGTTTGGGCAGGACTTGGGGGTATCCACCCCCCTTGGGGAACCCCAGCCTAGGAGGCAAGAAAGGTGGCCAGAGCCTGTGCCCAGGTCACATGGCTGCTCACTGTGATGGGAAGGAGCTGGGGGCACGTGGGAGGGGCTGGGGCGGAGGTGCCAGAGCCTTGGAGCCGTTCTCACCACTGATGGTGGCAGCCATGTGCCAGACAAGCTGAGGCTTGTTACAGGGGTCAGTGTCCTGCAAAGGCCAGCCTTGGGGCTCCCCGCCAGAAAAGGGAGCAGAAGCTGGAGGGGCCGGGACTCATGGGTGGGTTGTGCTGAGTCAGGAAAAAACACTCATGTGGCTGCTGCTGCCTCTAAAACATAAGTAAGTCTGTTTCTTTAATTGTGTATGTGTGTTTATACTCCTCTTTATTAGTGGATAAATACTAGAAAATCATCTCTCGGAAGGTGCGGTCAGGGACGGGCCCAGCTTGCCCAGCCAACTGGAGGCGGGCCCTTCGGGGGGCCCTGGCCGGGTGTGCAGGGTGAGGCTGTCCCTCCAGGGCTCATACACCAGTGTGTAGCTCTCCGCCCTCTTGACAGTAAACTTGTAGGCACGGTTGGGCAACAGGTTTCGGATGTCAAAGGCGCAGGTGGCCACGGGGATGATGCCACACTGCATGCACTCCTGCTGTGTCCGTGGATCCAGCAGCTTGTAGCGCAGCTCAAACTGCTCCGGCACAGCCTGCTGGATGGTGACAAACCAGCGCAGGCTAACCCAGTCCTGGTGGGCCACCGACTCCTTGCGGTCAAACATGACGGGCATCTTGGTGCTCAGCATGAGCCTGATGTGGGGAATCTTGGTGGCGCCAATGTCAGACACTAGGCGGTGCTTGACGTGTAGGCGCCCCGGCACCATCATGGCCAGGAAGCTGTCCATGACAGCCGACAGGTCCGCCAGGCGCTGCTCCACGAGCCCCCAGCCTGCCAGGAAGGGCCGAGGGTCCGGCGACTCGAGCAGGGCATCCAGCTCAGAGCGGCCGTGGTCCAGCTGCTCTAGCAGGTCCCCAAGCAGCAGGAGCTGGATCTTGGTCTGGGCGGCGCCCACCTTCTTCATGCGCTGGAACTTCCAGGGGTCAATGAGCTGGAACATGGTGGTGGGCAGCACCAGTGGGTTCTGGTCGCCCAGAGCCAGGTGCTTGGGGAGGATCTCGATGTAGTAGGAGCACTTCTTGAGGAGCTCCATACGGGCGTGGTGGCGCTTGAGCAGGTGGGGGCTCAGGTCTGAGGTCAGGAACTCTTGCAGAGCGTTGCGGCGCTCCACATAGGTTCGCCAAGCCTCGGGCTCCAGCAGCTGCCCATCCTCGGCCTCTTCCACCTCCTCCTGGTCCAGGAAGGACTGGGGACTGTCCAGCTTCATTTTGTCCAGGCCCAGGCCTGTCACCTGGAAGTTCATGGTCTAGGAGCAGGGGACAGAGGGCAGGGCGTGAATAGAATGCTCATACTGGCCTCTGCAGCCCACCCAGGGCCCACTCAGGGCAGTGTTTGTGTGGTGTGACTTCAGTCCCACTGGCCCCCATGCTGGGCCCTCTGGCCTCTGGGAGTGGGAGGAGACTCGTGAGGAGGGCTCATCTCTCTGGACAGAGGCTGCTTGGAGGGCCAGGTGGGCAGGCTGCAGATCTGGATAAAAGTGGACACTGTAGGGCCAACACTCTACTGATGATCTTTTGTGATGACTCAGGGAAGGGCTGAGACGGGGGCATTGGGCCTGTGCTTTGGAAAGTCCAGCCACTGCCTAGCTGTGTAGCCCCATCTGGAATGGGGTCACACCGCTGCCCTGCAGCTGTTGACAGGATTCAGTGTGATCCTGTCTGAGCAGCACCAGACCCCAGCTGGGGACCCCACTGTCCTGCAGACTGTCCACAGCCCATTGCAGATGCAGAGCAGAGGTCCGGGGCCAGCCCAGCAGGCAAGGTGGCCTCAGCTCTGAGGAGCAATCAGTCCAGTTCCTTGTTATGGAGCTCTGCTGTATCTTGGGGCCTCAGGATGTTTCTGAGCTGATAAGAAAAGTCCCTGAATGGTCCCCTTGCTCACAGATGGGGTGCCTGAGCCCAGAACACTTGGTAGCTTGCTCTCAATCCAGGCTTTAAGCGCACGGTAGATCCCAGAGTCTATCTTCTCCTGCACCCCTCCTCCACCCAGGTTCCCCACTGTAGGAGGGCCCATTGTGCCCCAGAGCTGGGCATAGCTATGCTCCCAGCCCTGGCAGGTCCTGACCACAAGGCTGGGGCTCCTTGGAGAAAGGGGGTCAGCATTCCTGGCTGCTGCCCCAGGTCCCAGCCACCCCCAAGGACAGCGAGACAGACCCAGTGGTTTCACAGGGAGGTCTGAGGTTGTGTAGCACCCAGAGTTGGATGAGGTACAAATGGGAGCTGACAGGCTGAGTGAGAGTCCCAAGGGGCAGAGTGAGGTTGGGACCCAAGTCGGTCTCCCTCCCCAGATGCCAGTACTTGACCTTCCTGGGATGGAGGCGGCAGACCCAACCCTGGGCACAGCAGTACCGATGTCTGGGCTGAGGTGCAACAGACCAGGACCAGGATTGCTGGCCTGTGCCCTTCAGTGGTCCAGTGGCCCAAGACTGGGGCAGATTCAAGCCGCCTCTGGAGGGAGCTTTAGCTCCAGGTAGGGCTACAGGTCAGAGGTGCTTCCAGATGGCCCCAGTTTCTCCGTTGAAAAAGCCAGGAGTGGTTGCTGGTAAACTCAGGAAAGAAGCTGCCTGCCCTGGCCCGCTACCCAGACCTACACCCTCCTCCGCCTCCGGGACCCCCCTACACGCCCCTGGCCCTGGGCCCACTTCCCCTCAACCGACCCCTACCCGCCCCCGCCTGCCCACCTCTGCCACACTCTCCTCGTCCTCCACCCCCCTCGCCCGCCTCCCGGCGCGCCCACTTGCCCTGCCTCCGGAGCAGCGCACGGAACCAGGGGCGCCTAGCCTCGCACCGCGGCGTCCCGCGGGTTGCCATGGGGACCGCGGGTCTTTGTGACGCTCCGCCCAGACGGCGGGGTGGGCGGAGAGCCCATAGTGTGGGGATGGGGCCCCCTCGACTCGGGAAGATTGCTGGGGCGCGTTCCCGGTCGCGACCCAGAAGCCTCCTTAAGTCAAGGAAGGGCCCTTGCCTCCATCCCCTTGCAGGTCAATGGTGGGTACCTTCCAGCATAGGGTGTCTGTCTCTGAATTCCCCTCCCCTGGCAGAGCCTCCCTCTCCACGGTGCCCCTCCTCCACCCCTCCTGGTGACCTCACTCACGGGAGGAGGTTTTGCCAGGCTAAGCGCCCATCACCGTGTGGGGGTGGGGGGTGCCCTGGGCACTTAGTCTATGTGTTGTAGCTGTTGTTATGTCGTTATTTAGGGGTCTGAGAAGCAATAGTTGAATTATTTGGAAAGGGGATGCTGTCTCAAAGTTGAGGGAGAGGCGGGGAGCTGGAAAGTGGGGAAGGGAATGAAAAGCAGCGAAAGAAAGACCGTCCACCCGTGCAGCCCACCCACAGAGAGTGTGTGGGGGACCGAGCAGTCTCCCCTCCTCTTCTGGGTTAGGCAGGTCCTCACCTCTGCCATCTCTGACTCCATCCTTTTTTTTTTTTTTTAATTTCTCATTCTCATCTATTTTCTTAAACTTTCAATTTTGAGATTCAGCTGCAATTTTAAGAAATAACACAAAGATCCCAAGTATCCTCTGCCCCTTTCCTGAGGGGACCAGCTTGCAGAACTGTGCTACAAGATCACACCACGAGAGTGAGCTTGACCGTCAAAACGCAGACTGCCCCTTCCCCACAGGGACCTCCCCGCTTCACCTTCCGCAGCTCACGAGACCCCGCCCACCACGCCCCCGAGACCCCGCCCACCACTGGCCCAACTCTGAGGCCCCGCCCATCACGGCCCCACTTTGGGACCCCGCCCTGACGCCTGTCCCGGGACTGGGCCCTCCCCACCTTCACGAGACTTAAAGCAGTTGGGGACTAGTCCTGCCGGCGAGACACCCTAGAGGTCGAGGAGAGCAACGGCTGTCATGTGGCCGGCGCTGGAGGGCCACCCAGCGCTGCTCTGAGCACCGCAGGGAGCCGGCGGGGTCTCTGGAGCGCCTGCCTCCCCCCCCAAACCCCGTTCCAGCGCTCTCCATCCCACCGCCCCTCCAGTGTCTCCCCGTCGGGGTCCCGGAGCCCCGCCGCTGCGCTCCCTCCGCCCCCTGCAGAACCCGGAATGGAGCCCTTCCTCAGGAAGAGGCTGGCCTTCCTTTCCTTTTTCTGGGACAAGATCTGGCCGACCGACGCGCCTCGGTTCCCGGACCCGGACGCTGACCTGGAACCGGAGCCCGCCGCAGAGGAGCCCAGTACCGCGGAGCCTTGCAGTCCCCCGGCGCCCGCGCAGCCCTTCAGGGCGCTGTCCGACTTCACGGCGCGGAGCGCGGAGGAGCTGAGCGTCAGCCGCGGGGACAGGCTCCACGCCCTCAGGGAGGAGGGCGGCTGCATTCTGGCCCGCAAACTCTCGGGCTGGCCCTGCACTGGCCTGGTGCCCATCACCTACGTGGCCAAGGTGGCCCCTGAGACGCTCTCGGACCAGCCGTGAGTACCACCTGCTCTAGGGAGTCAGTAATAAGTGCAGGGTAGTTTGAGGCCTGCACATCCAGCATCACGCCTCAGGCCCCGCCATCCAGCGGTGAGCAAGTCCCACAAGTGTGGTACCGGGATGGTGTGCAAGATGGGCGCCTGATTGCGCTAGGAGAGGAAGGGGCAGGGACTCTGGCGGGAGTGGTTAGGTGGGGCCGCGAGCCAGCGGTACAGTGTGTGCATGCTGGACAGTGTGTGCATACTGTGCCTGCCACGTCTGCCTGCTGGCACACAGGGATTCAGACCTGGTGTCCTGCAGTGTTTGCTGAGTGGTCATTGCTTGGGGGCAGGGGGCTGAGGACTGGGATGCAGTGAGGTGGTAAGGACATGAGTGAGCAGAGAGGCGGTCCTTGTGCTGTGAGGGGTGAGATAGTGACCTCAGTGTGGAAGGGGTGATAAGCTAGGTCAGAGCTGTGCCTTTGTTCACCCTCTCACCTATCCACATTCACCTGGCCTCCTCTCTCCTGCTCTGGGCCAGTCATGGGGCAGACAAGGCCCTGGTCTTTGGATTGCTCCCAAAGAGGCTCCTTTGGGGAGTGCGTACAGATGGGAGAGCTCACCCATTCCCCTGAGTGCCTGAGGCCCCTAGGGCCAGGGCAGTCCACAGATGGGGAGTGGCTTGCACGGACCCTTGGCTGTTTGCATGCCAGTTGTGTGGTCATGGCAGGGAGCAGAGGCTGGGCACTCTCCCAGAAGGCTCCTTAGAGGATGTGACCTCTTGGCCCAGGCTCAGGGTCCACAAGACACAGTGTGTGCTGGTGCCGGGCTGGTCCCCACTATGTGGCTATGGACAGAGTACATGGGCCTTTGACCCAAACTCTGCGCATGGCCCCTACCTGTCTTTCCTCTGAATGTCTTGGCCATTGTCATCCCTGCCTTCTTGAAGGAGGGGGTGCCTGGGGAACCCTTGGGGCAGAGGCATCTCTTCCCAGTCCTGGTGCTAGAGATGACATGCCGGCTGAGAAAGGCCAGAAACTGGCTGGTGAACAGGGCTAGGAAAGGGAGGCTGCCCAGACCTTGCCCTAACATGGGCCCCAGGTCCTGCACCCAGCTGGGTCTCTGCAGACCAGAAGCAGGTCTCATGTCACTCAGGCTACCTGTGGCATCCTTGGGGACCCCTGGGGCACCCACCGTCTCCTGGAAATGTACATCTGGGGGAAAGCCTGAGTCACAGGAAGGTGCCTTTGGAGGGGACTCCAGCCCCACCCCCAGCCATTCTGATGGGAAGGGGGCCCACAGTCCCTCCAGGTGGAAGACAGACTGGGTCAGCAGCTCCTGGAGGTGGGCAGGGTCCAGGGGGGAGGAAGGGCTGCTTGGAGGACTAGCTAATGACTGTTTGTCTGGGCTGCAGATGAAAGGGCTGCCACACTTGCTATGTCATTACCCTCAGACACCTGGCTGCCTGTCACCCGGGCCAGCCAGGCAGGAGGAGACCCCTCAACTTTACAAGATGCTAGGACACCCCACGCTTATCTCACCCACTGCTCCGCAACCAGGGCCTAGAGTTCAAGAACATATCAGAAGTCTGGGTGTGCATGGGGGTTCAGCCCTGCCCCCCAGGCCCTGATGTGGGTTCAGGGGCGGGGGAGGTAGAAGCACTGCTGCCCTGGGACTGTCCTCTGTTGCCCCTCCCCACATGAGAGTCTCTCCTGGGTAGAGGGTCCCCAAGGCAGGGGCTGGCCGCAAGAGGCTCTCGGTGGATGGAGCCCGCAGACGCCTGGGTCTGGGCCTCCTGCTTCCTAATCAGTGTGTCTCCGGCTTGCCGTCCACCCAGGGCCTGTCTGGGGGAACCACATCCTACAGGTCCCTGACCCTTCCCCAGATGTCCGCTGATTTTACCTCCTAACAAACCTCTGCCTCTCCCACCGTCACCCTGCCCCACCCCATCCTGCCTCAGCCTCAGCCCAGCCCCACTGCTCACTCTGGCCATGTTGTTTGCTAGCCCACTCCCCACAGAGCACCAGAGTGGGCACAGATGTCTATCTGTGCCAGAGTAGGCCTGTCTCTACCCCTGTTCTTTCAGGCCCATTCTCACCCCAGGCTCCAGCAGCAGCCCCTCCCAGGTTGTCTATCCGGTCCTTTCTTTAGGGGCCCCCACCTTGTGCTCAGCCCCCATGGACTCCAGAGGCTGGGCCCTGGGGCTGGGGCATGTGCAGACCCTGGACTGGGTCCCCAGTACCAGGCACCAGGTTCCTCTCTTTGCCTCCTGCATGGAGTGGGCATCTGGGGCCCAACCCATGGGAGTCATGGGTGTCTCAGGGCTGGGCCAGTATGGGGACTGCTGTGTCTGTCCTTTGCAGCTGGTACTTCAGTGGCATCAGCCGAACCCAGGCCCAGCAGTTGCTCCTGTCCCCCCCCAACGCACCGGGAGCCTTCCTTGTCCGGCCCAGCGAGAGCAGCCATGGGGACTACTCACTGTCAGGTACCAGGGTGCTCTTGACCTTGGGGTGGCGGCTTTCCCAGGGAGTGCCAGCCCCCAGCCCACCTTGGGCCCAATGGTACAGGTCGCTTGGTTGAGATGGTGGGAGGGTCAGGGCTGCAGCCAAGACGGGGTCTCCATCTCTGCACCCTCCCAGTCCGGGCCCAGACCAAAGTCTGCCACTACCGCATCTCCACGGCGGCCGATGGCAGCCTCTACCTGCAGAGGGACCGGCTCTTTCCCAGTCTGGATGAGCTGCTGGCATATTACAAGGCCAACTGGAAGCTGATACAGAGCCCACTGCTGCAGCCCTGCACACTCCAGGTGGGCCCGTCCCTTCCGCTGCCGTGCATGCCCCAGGTGGGCCCATCCCCCACTGCCCTGCCCGCCCCAGTTGCGCCTGTTCCCCCCCTGCCCTGCCCACCCCAGGTGGGCCCATCCCCACCTCTTCCACCAGGCTGCCCCTCACCAGGCCCGTGACACTTCTCAGCACATGTTCAGCTGGCTCAGCTCAACCCTGGGTGAAGCTCCTGTGACTCCTCTGCACTCTGGCTGCGACCCTGCCCTGGGGTTGGGTCTGCTCTCACAGGTTCATCCCTATGGCATTCTCTTCTCTGAGGGGGAAGGGGAATGAGGCCTGTGAGATGCCCTCCCTTCCTGCCCAGCTCTGCCATGGAGCAACCAGGAGGGTGGGAGGGAGGCAGGTTGGGGAAGGTGTCCGGGGATGGCACCCACAGCAGCCCCAGGCCAGCATGGAGGCTGTGGGAAGAGATGCCTGTCGGGACGGCCACACCTGTGCTGGAGCCATGGTATCTGTGATGGTCCCAGTCAAGCAGTCCTGCCAGGGGCTGAGCAGCCATCTGGTTCCTCTGGTCTCTTAATGACAGCCTGGATGGGACAGTAATGAGTGTGGGTGGATGCCTGCACTGGCAAAGGTGCCACTTAGGTCCGGAAGCAATTAGGGCCAGGCCTCCAGAGGTCAGCACCTGTGCCCCCGGCCCTGAGCAGGGTCAGAGGCGAGTGTGTGCTGGGGCACAGGGGCAGAGAGCTGGAGGCCTGGGGCCCCAGGAGAAGCCATGGACTCTGCTCAGGGAGCCACAGGCAGAGGCCCTGAGTGCTCCCACCCCTGCAGAAGTCCCTTGAGCAGGACGAGTGGGAGCGGCCCCACTCGGAGTTCACCCTGCGGAGGAAGCTGGGCGAAGGCTACTTCGGGGAGGTGTGGGAAGGCCTGTGGCTGGGCTCCATGCCCGTGGCGGTCAAGGTCATCAGACCAGGTGGGTGGGACCCCGGAGCCCAGGGCAGTAGCGGTGGGTGGCGGTGGTTATGGCAGGTCCTGGAACACTGCCCTGTCCCGCAGGCGATGTGAAGCTCGCGGACCTGGCCCAGGAGATCCAAACGCTCAAGAGCCTGCGGCATGAGCGCCTCATCCGGCTTCATGCGGTGTGCTCGGCGGGTGAGCCCGTGTACATCGTCACCGAGCTCATGCGCAAGGGCAGCCTGCAGGCCTTCCTCGGCAGTGAGTGTCACTGTGGGGATGGGGACGCCTCATCCTTCCTGATGGTCCTCCAGGCCTTTTTATTGAACGCCGATTGTCCAAGGCCCAGATGGCCGGGGTGGGCTCTGGCCACGAGTGAGGTTGGGCGTGGTCTGGACACTGCAGTTCCAGGTGGGGCCCCTCTGGGTCACTAATCCTACACGAGGTCACTAGTCCTGGCATAGACCCCACCAGACCACGAGTGCGCCCCTCCCCCACTTTGGTCTGTTTCTGTTCCTGGTTGGGAACCAGGGCCAGGCTGACTTGGAACCACAACACAGTGCCCCCCTGCGGCCTTGGCAGGCAGTGCTGTCCTCACCCAACTTAGAGCTGGGGACCCGGAGGCGTGGAGGGCAGTGACTAGCGCAGACGCCTGCCGCCTGACTGTCGGCCCCGCCTGCAGGCCCCGAAGGCCAGGCCCTGAGCCCACCCCTCCTGCTGACCTTTGCCTGTCAGGTGGCCGAGGGCATGAGCTACCTGGAGGAGCAGCGCATCGTGCACAGGGACCTGGCTGCCAGGAACGTGCTCGTGGGCGACGACCTGGCCTGCAAGGTGGCCGACTTTGGCCTGGCCCGCCTGCTCAAGGTCAGCATGGGCTCTAGCCACAGGCTGCTGGGCGACTCAGGCGCTGGGGGGAGACTGCCTCTCCACCCAATGCACCACTGGTCTCCCCTTGCCCAGGATGACGTCTACTCCCCGCGCAGCGGCTCCAAGATCCCCGTCAAGTGGACAGCGCCCGAGGCAGCCAACTACCGCGTGTACTCGCCCAAGTCTGACGTCTGGTCCTTCGGGGTTCTGCTCTACGAGGTCTTCACATATGGCCGGTGTCCCTATGAAGGTGGGCCTCCAGGCGGCACAGGGCAGGAGGGAAGGGTAGTCTAAGGAAGGAAGCGTGGGAGCCAACCTGGAGGAGGAGGCACCCCCTGCCCGGAGGTCGCTGAGCCTGGAAGGGGTACCTGGCCTGGAGGCTGCCTGCTTGGCAGGGTCTGCCCAGGGCTGGAGGTGGGCTCCAGGGTGACTCCCAGGCCAAGGGAGGAAGCACCTGCCCAGCCTCTCTTCTTGCCCCTCTCCAGGGATGAGCAACCATGAGACTCTACAGCAGATCTCACGGGGGTACCGGCTCCCACGCCCGGCTGCCTGCCCGGCTGAGGTCTACGCGCTCATGCTGGGGTGCTGGAGGCGCTGCCCGGAAGAGCGGCCGGACTTCACCACACTGCGGGAGAAGCTGGGTGCCGCGAGCAGGCGCCACCGCCCCACCCTCACATGACCCAGGCTCCTGCCCAGGCACCCCCCTCATGGGACAGTGTTTGCCAACAATACCTGCTGCTCAGAACTGGTGCCAGCCCACAGAGCCTCTGGCTGTGGGCCTCACACCTTGACACGTGCTGGCACACACAGCTTGTGCACACGAGGCAGACACATGCGAACACCTCCTCAGACAGGAGAGGGACCAGCGTCCTCCACCGGGGTGACCAGTGTTCCCCAGAGAGGGAGGGTCTCAGCAGAGAAGCCCAGACAGAGCCCACATTCGCCCTGACCTCAGGGAGACACGGGGCAGAGAGGCCTCCTGCCAGTGCCTGCCTCATCGAGCCCCCTCCCACAGCAGGAGCCTTGGTGGGTTGCTGTGGCCTTCTTGCAGCTGTCGGTGCTAGGGCTTTGGCAAGCCCGTGGTGCTGGCCCCACGTGGCACAGACTGGCACAGCCGCTCCCTCCTGTGGGCCACCTGGGCCTGAGCCCCTAACCAGAACAGGACCTGGGGCTGACGGCTCAGCCCTCCATCTGGTGGATCGTGCCCGAGGAAGAGCTGGCTCTCACATGCCCACCTCCACCCCAGGGCATCTTGGCGCCCACATCCGGGGATTCAGAGGCAGCACACCCCCTGGGCTGTGGGCAGGAACAGGATGGCGGGGGAGGCTGCAGAGGCCAGGTGAACGGCCTTTCCCATGCCCCTGGGGCTGGAGCAGAGAGCGAGGGAGGGAGGGGGTTGTCAGGCCACAGGGAGCTCAGACTGGTGACCAGGTGACTGGGTGACGCTCTGGGCGGTTCTCTGTGGGTCGGCAAAGGTCAGGGAGGCATCGTGCCTCAGAGCTGGGGCCCTGGGTGCTGGCTGACTGTGCAGGGTCGGGGTGGGGCAGACGTGGATGCTCTGGCGTCGGGGCACCTGGTGACCACTGGCCCTCCTGTGACAGGAAGCAGCCAGTTTCCAGGTGCAGCTGCTGCCCCGGGGCTAATCTCAAGCACGGCTTTGTCACAGGACGTCGTGCACTGTTGGCTTCACCTCACCCTGCCGGCTCCAGTCCCACGAGATGGACATGGACGGGGACTGGACAGGTGGGGTCTGCCCTCAGGGTTCCTGACTCTCATCGTGGTAGCCCCAGGCTGGCAGCTGTGCTCCAGAGGCCTGTGGGACAGAAGGGGCAGAGGCATCATGGGGCAGGAAGATGGGACCCTAGGGTTCAGATAAGTGACCCTCCTGCCCCAGGAGCTGCTCAAATGCTCAGAAAAACAGTCTGTGCAGGGTTGGAGAAATTGGGGCAGAGGACTTCCCAGAGGGCAGGGGAGGGGGGCATGGGGAGGGTGAGGGACCCCTTGGGCCCCAGTCACCTTGGTTGTGGGTCAGAGCCTGAGACACAGTCCCCAGCCACCCCCCTCCCCGAGGCAGATGGGAGAGGGGGCAGGAGGGTTTGGCCTCAGCCTTTAGGGACACCAGGCAGCTGGGCCTCAGCTCTGCCCTGGCCTTCAGTCCCTGACCCCTCTCTACCCTGTCCTGGGAGAGCTGGAGGGCCCGAAGGTGAGGGCTGGGCTCCTCTGGCTCTGGTGGTTCCCAGACCAAGAAGCCTATGGGGCTCGGGCTCCAGCCCCGTTGAAGGACTCACCCTCTTCGTTTCCTGCTGTGTGTGGGAACTGGGGCTGGCAGGCATCCTGGGGGGGTGGGGAGCATGCTGGGTGGGGTGACAGGAGAGGCAGGTGTGCGTGGGGGTCACCAGCGCTTCCTGGAGGCGCGTCATCAGCACAAGCTAAACAGGTTTGACACTGGTGCCTTAGGAGGGCCCGGGCCTCAGCCTCAGATCCCTCCCATTTGCTGGTGTGACGCAGGCAGGACCAGAGGCCCCAGGGACATGGCTCAGGGGCGGGGCCCAAGGCCAAGGAGGGTCAGAGAGTTGTGGCCAACGGTGAGGGGGTAGGTGTGCGGGGGTGGGGGCTTTGGAACTTCTCACTGCCCGGCCGTCTGTCTGTCCCCTCTGGGCCCTCCTTGGTCAGAGCCAAGCAGGCTTGTTCTTGACCTCAGAGAGGCAGGTGGTGCCTAGTCTCTTCTCAATAAAAGGGAACCCGCCCACAAGCAGGATGAGTGTGTGATTCCCTTGCTCATTGTCCTCATGGCCCTCCCATCGGGCAGAGTCCCTGGCACTCCAGCCTCCAGCTGGGGAGGAGGTGCCTGGGCTTTGGGGGAGCTCCCCCCAGAGGAGAAGCAGAGAAGCAGCCCTGGGCTTCTGGTCAGAACCCTGCTGGGAACTGGTCATCCTGAGGTCTAGGCTCAGCAACAACAGTCTAGGCGGGGGGGGGGGGGGGTTTGGGGAGGGCATGCCTTGTCCATCCCCTCCAGCTCCGAGTCCCACACCTCCTGCCTGATCAGTGACTCCCCTCTCCCTTCTCCTGGTGCTTAGGTCTGGCCATGTGGCCAGTGGCACCTGTGACCACTTGGTGGGCAGCTTTCTTGGCAGGTGTTAACTGATCAGTTAGTGCCCAGACTGACCTGGCCCATGAGGTCGCGCTCAGGAGCCTAGGGTGCCTGGGAAGGCCTGAGAGGGGCTGTCCCTGGTGGCACAGGTGTGGCTGGCCCGGCCGCCTCGTCACAGGGAAATGGGTGGTGGCTTAGTGGGGCAGGGATGGACTGCTGGGGACAGCCCTGCCCACATGCTGCTCCCAGCTGGACCGGAGAAGGCAAGGCCGGACAGCCCAGTTTTTGCCGCTGCACCAGCCATGGGGTCCGAGGGCCAGGGTCCCCTGGGCCCCAAGTACGTGGGCCTCTGGGACTTTGAGGCTCGGACTCCTGAGGAGCTGAGCTTCCGGGCAGGGGACCTCTTCCATGTGGCCAGAAAGGAGGAGGAGTGGTGGTGGGCCGTGCGCCTGGATGGGGCGGGCCGGGCCCTGGCTGAGGGCTACGTGCCCCACAACTACCTGGCTGAGAAGGAGACAGTGGAGTCAGAGCCGTGAGTGTCCCTGTGGCCCTGGTGGGTCACTCCAAGGCACCCCCATCCCTGGGCCATGCAGCCCCTCATGAGCTTGGGGCAGGGGTCTGTAGGGACAGAGCTCTGTGCTTCTGTGGCTGGGCTCTGGATGTGGGCAGGAGCCCTGGGCTGCCACAGATTGGGACTCCATGGCTCCATCTCCCTGCCCCTGCCCCCCTGAGAGGTGGGGCCTACCATCCTGGTCTTGGGATCCCTGGCTGGGCATCTGTGTGTGACTTCTGGGGAGGGGGTCCTGAGACTGTGGCCCCTCCCCTGGGCTTCCCCATGGTCAGTGCACCGTGTGGGACCCAGAGAGGGCAGAGTCTGGGCCTTCCGGGGAGTGAAGCTTTGCTCCCCTTCTAAATACCCGAAACCAGACATGTGGCCTCATCAAAGGGAGTGGGAAGGCTGTTGCGACAGGCCGGCCGGGGTGTGGGCCACAGACATGCTTCCTGTGTCAGCATGGCTGCCTGTCACTGGCAAGGTAGCTCTGGGAGGTGACTACAGTCCTCAGGGGCTGCCCAGGAAGCTTGGGCCACAGGGGCAGCCTGGCCTGGATGTGCTCACATGACCCGAGGAGGTTCTGTGAGCTCTGGGTTGGGGGAGGGTCTGGAGGAGGAAGTCCCTGGGTGCCCATGCGCCCCACTGATGGAGTGCCTACTGTGTCCTCCTGGAGGGACACAACATACACTGGATGGCCTCAGGCGGGGCCAGCATGGCCAGGGCAAAGGCCCCGAGTCCCTGGGAACACAGCACATCGAGACGTGGAAGGAGGCAAGGAGGTGGGGTTGGGAGCAAAGGGGAGAGACTCCAGAGGTGTTGGGTGGGTGGGTGGGAGTGGGCTGTGAGCCCCACAGGGCTCAGTGCTGGGCAGTGGTCCTCTGTGCGGGGGCTCACGTTTCAACAGGGCCTGAGGAGTCGAGGGTGCAGCAGGCAGAGCAGCTGGCAGCAGAGGCTCCCTGGGGAGCCCCACTGGCCCCACCCCGCCCTCCAGAGTCCAGGCTGGTCCCTGTCCTGGTGCTGGGGGCCGGGGTGTGAGAATGGGTGTTTGCTGGTGCGTGTGAATCCTCAGGTCCCAGGACTTTTGAGCACTGTGTGTCTGTGCCCCCAGGGGCAGAAGGTGCCACAGGGTCACAGGACTGTGTGGCCCAGGAACTTCCCTGGTGGTCCAGTGTTTAAGAGGCCGCGCTGTCATTGTAGAGGTGTGGGTTCCATCCCTGGTCAGGGAACTAAGATCCCACATCCTGCATGTTGTCTGGCAAGGCCAAAAAAAAAAACAAAAAAACCACAAAAAATCCAAACAAGATGGGTCCAAGTGCATGGCTGCAGAGTCACAGCTGAAGTTGGGGATGGGTCGCTGCACCCACAGGATAGGGGGCTCTATCCCCACAGACGGGACGCCTCAGGCAGGGTCGTGGGGGGCCTTTCCCACTTCTGGATCTCCAGGCCTTTCCTGGTATCCAGAATTGGCCACTTGGGACATTTGGGGTTGGCAGTGGGCAAAGAAGGGTACTCTGGATCAGTGAGTGTCAGAGAGCAACTGTGCGTTTGGGTTGGGACCCGAGGCAGAGGGTCGGGTCAGGTGGGGGCTTGGACTTAAGGTAGGGGCTGAGACTTAAGGTGGGGGCACTGGGGGGATCTGTCCTGCTCAGGGTGCCCCCATCCTGCAGGTGGTTCTTCGGCCGAATCTCTCGCTCGGAAGCTCTGCACCGACTGCAGGCCATGGGCAACGAGCAGGGGTCCTTCCTGATCCGTGTCAGCCAGAAGCCAGGCGCCGATTATGTCCTCTCGGGTACCTACTTCCTGCTCTCCCTGCTCCACAGCGCCCCCGCCCACCCCCAGGCCTGACTTCTGGACTCCTGGTCCCTAAACCCTTTGTGCATGTAGAGTTCAGCTCCTCTGGCCTATCCTCTCCCCATCCCTGGGACGTCCAGACCTTGCCCTGGGAGCTCTGACCCTTGGTGGGCGTGGGCCCCACTGTCTGGGCCCCTGTCCCAAGGTCCTGCTGGGTCCTCACCTTCCCCGTTGGGGGCCCCTCTTGGCACCTGTTCACAAGTGCCCCCCTCCGTCCAGTGCGGGACCAGCAGACCGTGCGCCACTACAAGATCTGGTGGCGGGCCGGCCGGCTGCACCTCAACGAGGCTGTGTCCTTTCCTGGCCTGTCTGAGCTTGTGGACCACCACAAGGTCCAGAGCCTGTCCCACGGCCTGCAGCTGACCTCGCCCTGCCGGAAGGTAGGGCCCCCGACCCTCACACCAGACCCTGGCCTCCCCATTGCCCTTTACAGGGACACGAACCCTCCAGTGGAGATGGGTGTGGGTCCTTGCCTCAACTGCCTGGGGACCCTTTAGGGACACTGTCTGGGGACTCTGGCAGCCGGGCAGCTGTGGTTGTACAGAGCCGGGCAAGGGGAGAGGGTGTGCTCTCACCCCTGGGCCAGCAAGAGGTCAGCTGTGTTCCTGCCATGTCCTAAGTCTCTCTGGCCATATGCCCTGGCCGGCAGCAGACAGGACTTTTGTCTGAATAGCACTCAGGCCAGTGTCACTGGTTCAGAGCAGATGGAGGGTGGTTTTTGTCTGCTGGACACAGAAGGGGTCAGCCTGGCTGGGGGTAGCCTCTGTGAGCCTGGCCACGTGCTGCATACCAGGACCCTCCCAAGTAGGACGTGGCTGAGGCTGACTTCGCATGGACGGGTGCCCCTGCCCCATGTCCCTGCAGCACGAGCCAGAGCCCCTGCCCCACTGTGACGATTGGGAGAGGCCACGGGAGGAGTTCACGCTCTGCAGGAAGCTGGGCTCCGGCTACTTCGGGGAGGTCTTTGAAGGATTCTGGAAGGACAAGGTCCGAGTGGCCATCAAGGTGATCGCCCGAGGTCAGTGGGCCTCAGGACAGGGACTTCCAGCCTCACTTGCAGGCATTGGGTGGCCCAGCAGCCCTGCGCCCTGACGCCCCGCCCACCACTCAGCACCCTAACCTGGACCACATGTGGCACCCACTGCAGCATCTGGGTGGCTTTCTCTTTTCATGCTGCGACCCAAGTGCACTTATCCTAATAGGAAATTTTAGATTCTTAATGTAAATGGAAGAAAAGCTGTTAAAATAAGTAATCACCAGATATCTGAAAAGGTTCATCTAAGAGATGAACCACCAGAGGTTCAGATCACCCACTTCAGGAACCAGGGACCCAGGGCTGCAAGGGAGCACATTTAGGGGGATTTCTAGCTTTCAGGCTGGGTCAGGGGTAAACCCCATGGGGGTGTCTGTGGTGCCCAGGGTGTAGGGAGAGCCACTGGTGGGCACAGTGGACCCCCCATGTGAACAGTGGGGACAAAGCTGTGTCTGCCCTGGCATCCTGGCTTGGGAGATGGGGTATCTGGAAAGGTGCACACCTTTCCTGAGCTGCTGCTGGTGCGGCTGGGTGGAGGGGCAGGCAGAGGGCCCCCAGCTTCTCCAGGGGCCACACCCAATGAGGCCGCCCACCCCCACAGCCGACCTTCTGCATCAGCACACGTTCCAGTCGGAGATCCAGGCCATGAAGAAGCTGCGGCACAAGCACATCCTGGCTCTGTACGCGGTGGCATCTGTGGGGGATCCAGTGTACATCGTCACGGAGCTCATGCCCAAGGGGAGCCTGCTGGAGCTGCTGCGGGGTGAGTGGGGCCACCAGAGTGACTTGTGCCCACTGGAGGGAACGGGAGACGTGCACAGACATGCACTCCATACCATGCACAGGACAGCCTGGGGTTCTGGGGGCTTCCTCAGCACTTTTCTGCTTACGAAAGGATTTAAAATATGATGAGTGTACCACCCATTTGTCGTAGGAATTTGACAAAATACAGATAAGAATAAAGACAAGAAAATCCACCCATCACTCCTGCACCCACAGTGAACTGAGGCCTCTTTAGTCAAAGGCTTGGTGTGGCTGCCCACCTCTCCTGCTACTGGGACACACAGCCTGGAAGATGCTGTCCCTTCTTCTGGTGTTTGTGAACATGCTTACACAGCCATACACCCGCACACACTCTCATGCCGTGTATCTCACTGATGCACAGACCTCATCATCTGTAAAAAGAGCCATCACTTAACACCCAGACCAGACAACCGCAGCAAGTGAGCGGAGACGCCACTGTGTGCAGACGCGGCCTGACTGCAGAGATGCTGCAAAAGGAAGTGTGCACACAGGATAAACTACACCCAACATGCATGTGTGCGCATCGGGGGGTCTATTTTAATACAGCACATTGGGAATACTTTCCACTTGATCATTGTAAGCAGTTTCCCATATCATTAAATGTTCATCAGAAATTAAATCCTGATAGTCTGTGGGCCACCACGTGGATGTGCCACGTCCACTTAGGTGCCTGTTGTTGAAACCTTCTGAGGTTTTCATGTAAATAATGCTGGGCCAAACACCTGTGTACATATGTGAGTTCTTTCTGCTTCAGTGTGGATTCCCAGAAGGAAATTCCAAAGGGCTATATGCTGACTCTATCAGCCTCTACAAGGCCTGCAGTGGCTCCACAGTTCCAATTTGAAATCAGGCCATCTGCCCTTTGTCCCAACCCCTCCCCTGAGCACGCGAGTCTGCAGAGAGGACTTGGCCCTGGCTGGTCCCATTCATCCTGGCCTCCCCTGGCCTCTGCAGATTCCGACGAGAAAGCCCTGCCTGTCTCAGAGCTGATGGACATTGCAGCACAGGTGGCCGAGGGCATGTGCTACCTGGAATCACAGAACTACATACACCGGGACCTAGCTGCCAGGAACATCCTCGTCGGGGAAAACAACATCTGCAAAGTTGGGGACTTCGGGCTGGCCAGGCTCATCAAGGTAGGGGTGGGGCAGGGTGGAGAGCTGAGGGGGCGGGGCACGGGCAATGAGGGCACGAACCACTAGAAGTTCCTGTGGCCTTCCCGTTCTCAGGTGAGATATGGGCTATGGAGCCCAAGCTCCCTTGACAGGGTTAGGAGGCTCCTGGGAGGGCAGTGCAGGCCCTTGGACGAGTCTAGGACAGCTCTGTGCCCAGAAGCTGTGAACACGGAAGTCCCCGCTGAGCGGGGCACAGCAGGGCAGGGCGCACAGGCAAGCGGGGTGTAGGGGAGGCGCCTGGCCCAGCAGGCTGGCGACACAAGCACTTCCAGGACTCCCATTAACACACAGAAGTTGGGGTTCCTTCAGTCATGACACCCAGAGCTAAGTGTCAGCCGTTCCTGACTGCTCCTCAAGCAGACCCTGCATCCCCCTAGCTTGGCTGCTAACCTGCTGTCCCCGCCAAAGTCTTCTCAAAGCTCACTTTCAGGGATTCTCTGCCCCGTGTTCTGGGAGGCTTTCCACTGGGTTCTGCGACTGTGGTTTTTCGGGGGCACGGCCTGTGGGTATCCAGACAGGGTCTGCCAGCTCAGCTCCCAGGAAGCCATGACATGGTGTGGGTCCTGACCGCACAGTTGCCCACCACATGCCAGGCTCCCCTGCTCTGTCCCTGCTGCAGGGGCGGCCCCCAGACCCACCCCCCAGCATGTGTCTGATTGCAGGAGGACATCTATCTCTCCTATGACCACAATGTCCCTTACAAGTGGACCGCCCCAGAGGCGCTCTCCCGAGGGCATTACTCCATCAAGTCTGACATCTGGTCCTTCGGGGTTCTCCTCCATGAGATTTTCAGCAGGGGTCAGACGCCCTATCCAGGTACTGGGTCCCAGCATTGCAGACTGTCGGTGGGGCAGTGGGGGGCTGCCTCCTGGTCACACCCCCTGCACCACTCACTGAGTATCTTTCAGGGTCACCAGCCAGAGGAGGGCGGTAGGAGTGCCAGGGGTGCAGAGGGCATTGGCTTCCTGCCTCCAGAGCCCCCTTGTGCCACCCACCGCAGGCATGTCAAACCACGAGGCCTTCCTGAGGGTGGAGAGTGGCTACCGCATGCCCCGCCCCCCAGAGTGCCCGCCCACCACACACAAGCTGATGCTCTCCTGCTGGCACAAGGACCCTGAGCAGAGACCCTACTTCAAAGGGCTGTGGGAGAAGCTCTCCAGCCTAACGAGGTACGAGAAACCGCTCTGAGCTCACAGCCTCCCTGCAGCTGCCCAGAGGCCAGGCCAGCCCTCATGAGTCAAGCAAGGCCTGAGGACCTCAGATCATGGCTGTGGACCACCCCAGTTCACTGAGGATTTGCCGAAGGCACGGCCCACTCCCAGAACCATCTGGACACTCCTGGGAAGGGGCTCTGGCAGACCTGGGCTTACCCCTTCCCCAGTGCAGCCTGGAGCTGGGGCTGTCCCTTCCCCTGATGCCAGCACCTGCAAAGTACCAGGCACCCTACAGTCAACGTCTGCCCTGGAGCCAGATCACCCTGCTTTCCTCAGAATGGACCTGTCCCTGGTCCTGACTTGAAGCCCACCAACTAGCAGGACGAGGGTCAAGCCTCCCTGGCCGTGTGGTGGGGACCTAGGCTTTGGCTGCACCTCCTCTGCCCCCTGGCCCTGCCTGAGCCTTGGACTTGAGGGGGTGACCCACCAGTCCTCCGCAGAGACAGGCACTGACACCTGCTCCCCGGGGGCCAGTGCTGTTCCTGTCCACCTGCCTTGGCAAACACCTGCCCCGGCGTGTCTGGGGGCCTCCTCTGGACACTGTGGCCAGGAGGACTGGGTGGGGGTCCGGCTAATCCTTGAGGTGGACCCCCCCCACCCAGCCTTAGCACTGACCACCAGCCTTCCCTGGGACCACAGGAGAGCCTGCCCCTCAGCCTGCAACCTGCCTGGACACACAGAGGGCAGGCGGGACAGACAGTGTAGGCTTTGGGGGCTACGAGCCACCCAAATGACTTATGTGACTTAGAACAGAGTTGGGGTGGGGCGGCCAGAGGAGGATGGGCCCCTCCAGCAGAGCCCGGCCCTTCAAGCAGGGGAGGCCACCCCTCTAAGCCTCTGACTTCACACCAAAGCTCTGTCCACAGCCTCACTGAACTGCCCTCTCCTGACCCCACACCCCAGTCAAACTCTGCTGGCCACTGAATGTGGACACCACCAGCCCACCCCCTCAGGCCTGTCCCAGGAGGCTGGCAGAGGATGAGGACCTCTCCCTCGCAACACCACACAGGCCTCCGGAGTCAGACTCTGCCCAAAGCTGGGCTTCCCTGGTGAGAGCGACCCACAGGAGCCTCCCACACTTGCTTCCCCTCTGCCTCAGTGGGGTGCCGGGGCCTCAGATCCACCCGGGGGTTGGGGGCCCTGTCCAGAGTGTGTCCTCAAGAGAAGAGAGGAGGCAACATCCTTAACAGAAGACACATGGGAGAAAAGAGGGCAAGCAAGTTTGAGGACTGCCTCCTCAAGGTCCTCCAGGGGGCACTGGCATCCCTCTGACCCCAAGGTAGAGACCCTGCCGGCCTCCTATAGCAGCAGCAAGAGGGGCCAGGGGTGGAATCACAATAGAGGGCTCTGACCTCAGCAGCTGCCTTGGAAGCTTCTTGGACTGCCTGCTCTCCCTGGTTTCCGAAATAGCCAGGGACCCCACCCCTTCTCAGATGCAAGGCTCCACACTCACTGGAGCTGTCTGCCCACATGAACCTGGGTCAGACCTCAGAGAAGGCCCCTAGGAGGGGTTCCAGGAAGGCCAAGGAGCATGGCCAGCTCTCTCACACCTGGAAATGAGAAGGTTGAGGGGTTAGTGACTTCTCCCTCAGGGGCGGGGGAGCACACGGCTCTCTCTCTCACACACACACACCAGGCTGCTCACTCTTGGAGTTTATTGTCCACTTGGTGCAAGGCACAGGGTTCCGGGATGTGAGGAAGGCGCGTTCGTGTGGCTCGGATAGCAGAGAGTGGGGTTCTCTCAACTTCCTTTTTGGTGTTTTGATATTAAAAACCGAACTGCTTCCCTTGACTGCAGCCTGCTTGGTCTTGGGGAGAGGAAGGGAAGGGAGGGTACAGGGAGGGGGAAGGAAGAGGGCTCTGATGAGCCTAGCGCCTTGGAAGGAAGCCTGGCAGCTGGTGGTGGTCACTCAGGATGGGGGCCTGCAGTTGGTTTTGCCAGGCTGGCCGCTGGGCTGCTGCTTCCCCACAGCTTCCCGAGCCAGGTCACAGGTGATCGTGCTGGTGGAGGCCTGGGCAGACTCCGAGCTGGGGGAGAGCAGGAAGTCAGGGGCTGTTTCCACTTGCCCCCACCCCTCCCCTCACACTGGTCCCCAGAAAGGCACACTCACTGCTCTGGGTGCTCCAGCACTGTGGCCAGGAATGGGAGAGTGGACTTTCCGAAGAAAAAGCTAGCCCACCAGTGTCCTGGATCTGCTTTGGGGAGACCTAAGAGGAGTGAGGCAAAGTCAAAGTGCTGCTGTCTCTCCCTGGGCATGGCCCTGGGGACAGAGGGGACACTGCACTCACCCGGGTGGTGGGGGATGGCTTCCCCCGGGTACTCGGCACTTCCGCAGGAGCTGTTACTGGAAGTGGAGCCCAGGCGGCCTGGAGAGAAGAGGCCCACTCAGCTCCACGGGGCACCAGGCCTCCAGTCCATCCGGCCAAGCAAGGGCTTCACCGGCAGCGCAGGCCAGTGCCAAGGGTCCTTAGCAGCTCACTCCCCACCCGGATACAGGTTCTCAAGCAACTGGAGTTGACCCCACAAGCTCTAGGCGGGGGAGCTCGGGACGGACTAGGACGCGGGCAAGGGGCTGACTTACGCCGGTAGTAGTCGTGGGTGGCCACGAGCGAGCCGCTGGAGGGGATGGCTGCCATGCTCTTGCTTGCGGGCTGGTGGAAACCTGCGCACGCGGGGGTCGGGGAGCCCCTTCGGTCACTGCTGCCTCCGCAGAAGGGTGCTCCCCACCCGGGCTGAGTAGACCCGCTCGGACCCCAGGGTCAGGTCAGCCCCATGGGCTCCCGGGAGGGGCGGAGGCCGGGTTTGTTTACCAAGTCGAGGCGGGGATCCGGAACTCTCGGACCGCCCTCTCCTCGCGGGCGGCTCCAACCAGCCCGAACCGGCCGCGAGGGACAATAAAGGCGCTTTGTGCGCTGGGTCGCCGGCCTGGGGCTCTGGGAAGTGGCCCTACCTGTGGCCGGCGGGCCCCCAGCTCCGTGCCCCGGGTCCTATCCGTCGCCCTCTGCCCACCCGCGCCCTTCCGACTTCCCGGTAGCCCGGCAGTCAGCCCCGCCAGCCGTCGCGCACCAGCCGCCCCCTGCCTCCCATTCGGGCCGCTCGACTTCATCCACGCGCCGCCCGGGCCCCACCTCGGCGGCGACCGCTCCCGGGCCTCGGCGTGCGATCACGGACGGTGGGCACAGGGGCGCTAGGCCACAGAGCCCATCTGCGTAAGAAAAAGCGGACGGCCGCTCCAGAAACCAGACACGCAGGGCGCGCACGCGCGGACGCGGCCCCCCACCCCTTATAAGGCGGTACAGCCCCACTCTCGGCCCCGCCCCAGCCCTGGCGAGACTCCGCCCCGATATCGGCCCCGCCCCAGCTAGGCTCGGTCCCGCCCCGCCTAATTGTCTGCGAGGCCAACTAGGCCCCGCCCCAAGCTCAGCTTAGCCCCGCCCGTCCCCGCCCCCGTGGCGCTGCCCTAGCTGGTCCGCCCCGGAGGAAATCCATCTCTGTTGTCTGTCTGACTTGGGCTGCCGGGCAGCGCATCTGGGCTTGAGGTGGTTAAAAAACCGCCGCCCCAGCCTGAAAGCAGGCCCTGTCTCTCTCCCATTTCCCATCCCCGCTTCCTGGGCTCTGGCCATCATTTGGGACCCAGGACCCCTGCTAGTCCAGCCTGTTTCCACTTTTCCAGCTTATTGGAGGCGGCAAGCGTGCTGGACGGTGGCCCCTGCACTTCCAGTCTGTTTCTGCTGCTCTCCACAGGAGAGGGAATGTCAGGCTTAAGCTGAGGGCTGAGCAAGGAGGAGGTGAGGTAGGGCCCAGTGCTCAGAGCTGCTGGGCAAGAGCAGGGGGCCCGCTGGGCCTGGACAGGTGTCCGTGGCAAGACCTGTGATGGGAGTGGCAGCCAGGCATGCCTCCTGCTCACTGAGGGATCATTGATAAGGTCAGTGCAGTTGGCACCAAGAGGGTGGACTGTTTGGGCAAGACCCAGGCTTGTCTCGCTCTTGCTTACCTTCCCAGGCCACCTTTCAAGCAGCCTGCTGGCCAGCCTGCCCCCATCCACCCCAGTCTCAACCTCACCAATGATTTTAAGAGTGATAATCCGATAAAAGGGTAGTTTTTTTTTTTAAGTGATAGTGTAAAGGCTGCATTTACTAAGCCAGGAAGGTAGAGGTTCTGCCAGTCACTCCCCATTGCTGGCTTTTGGCCCCTGAGTGGATGGTGGCATGTCCTGGTTAAAGCGGAGAAAAGGTAGGGCTTTTGGCCTCCATCTGGTCTAGCCCCTCCATCTGGTGTGAAGGACCCTCAGCCACTGGGCCCTGTCCCTTCCCTGGACTCCCACATCCCTGTAGTTGGCGTCCAAGTGTGTGGGCATCTTGTGGGTGCCCGTCACTCGTGCCTCCAACAGGACCGGGGTTCCAGGGACCAAAGCTGGAGAGCCCAGCCTGAGCGGCCCGTCCAGGACCATGGACAGTTCACATGATCAGGAAGTGGGGCTAGGATTTGGCAAGGCGCCTGCTCTGGATCCTGGGCCTGCTGGTTACTCAGAAGGGGGCACAGCTGGGAAACTGAGGGCTGCTGCCATTCCTGGGGGCCCGGGAGGGACACAGAGTATCCCTGGGGGAGAGGGGCAGCAATGTGAGGAGTGGAACCCCTGGGGCAGACCCATTCCATGGTGGGGTCTGAGCAGAGAGAGCTTAGGGGCAGGGGGCCATCAGGGCTTCTGCTGGGAGGTGCTCAGAGCTGGAGGCTGGTGCTGATCTTGCTGCTGTGGCTTCTACCCCCAGAGCTCGTGGACGACCTACGTGTGCACCGGGGGCGGTGAGTGGGAGACCCTGCCCTCTTCAGGTTCAGTGTCCTGAAGATGAGACAGTGCTGCCTTAGCACCAGTGCAGGGAGATGCAGAGGTCCTGGGGCCAGAGGGAGCCCTGGTGCACTGGGCTGTGGGTGTGTGTGTGTGCTAAGTTGCTACAGTCATGTCTGACTCTTTGCAACCCTATGAACTGTAGTCCACCAGGCTCCTCTGTCCATGGGATTCTTGAGCAAGAATGCTAGAGTGGGTTGCCATTTCCTCCTCCAAGGGATCTTCCCCACTCAGGATTGAACCTGCATCTCTCATGTCTCCAGCATTGGCAGGCAGGTTTTTTTAACCACTAGTGCCACCTGGGAAGCCCAGACTTGTGGGGGTGGGGAGGTTGATGTTAAGTCCTGCCTCCTGGTGGGGAGCAGAGGATGAGATGTCCCAGCGAGTCCGCAGGGGTGGGTGAGCATGTGACACTTTAGTCACTCCAGGCAGGGCTCACAGCCTTCCAGTCCTGCACCTGGGACCTCAGGAGCCTCTCTTCCTTGGGGATCCCAAACAGTGCTAGGCCCTTGGGATGGCCCGGAGGCAGCCACATCCCCATCTGTTCCCTGAGGGACCCAGACCCCTGCCTCCCTGGGGCTCCCTGGGCCTGGCTCAGGCCTGAGCAGCTGGGTTGGAGGGCTAAGGGAGAAGGGAAGATGTGCAGGGTTGGTGAGGTCCTGAAACCCCTCCTCTTGGCCTCAAGAAACCATGAGGCTCCCACCCCCAAGCAGAGCTCAGCTCCCAGGGTGATGGGAAGCTTCAGACCCTCAAGGGAGAGACTGGGAGGAATTCTCAGGCTGCCCTCTTTCCAGCTCAGGGCTGAGACCCCCCAGAGGTTGTTGCTCCTCTCCCACATTCAGAGCTCAGTGGTCCTCAACTCGGCTCCATTCTCTCCGCCCCCAGCTCCTGGCTCCAGCCAGCAGGGCTCTGCTTAGTCTGTTCAGGCCATATGACACCCCTCACTGGTCAGAGCCTTTGAGCCTGTACCTGGGGGGCTGAGGTCAAGGCCAGCAATGTCCTAGGGTCACCTTTGGCAGCCCAGATCTAGGAACCTGGGCTGGCAGGGCACTCGGCTGTGATTTGCTGTGGCTGGTTCCTGTTTGGGACTCCCTCCTGTAGGAGTGTCTTTGGGAGCAGCTGCTGAGACAGAGGGTGGGGTCAGGATGTGTGTTGGTGACCAGCACCCCAGGAGGGAGCTGAGGGATGCAGGACTGGGTGAGGGGTGGTGTCAACTCAGGTGGTTGGCCCAGAGGGGCTGCAGTGGGGCCCATCAGGAGTCCTGGAGTGAGGCGAGATCATTAGGGTTGAACTTCATTGAGCCTCAGGCAGCCAACCAGGGAATTGAGCCCTTGGGCATGGCAGCTTTGCAGCCCAGGCCAGCCCTAGAGGAGGGGGTAGTGGGGGCCACTCCCAGCTAGGCACTGAGGCCTTCCTTGAAGAAGCTCTGGTGGGGGCATCCCCCATCTTCCCAGGCCACCTTTCAGCAGCCCATTGGTCAGCCTGCCCCCATCCACCCCAGTCTCAACCTCACCAATGATTTCAAGAGTGGGATAATCCAAAAAAAGGGTAGGTTTTTTTTTAAAGCAATAATGTAAAAGCTGCATTTACTAAGCCAGGAAGGTAGGGGTTCTGCCAGTCACTCCCCATAGCTGGCCTCGGGGGCCTCTGAGTGGATGGTAGCATGTCCTGGTTAGAGTGGGGAAAGGGGTAGGGATCTCGGCCTCCATCTAGTCTTGCCCCAGCCTGTGGACAGCATGGCCTGATCCCCAGATGGGCTACACCTCTGTCTGGGGTCCCCAGAGGTGCTGAGTGGACCTCAAGGTCCTTGTGTTGCTGACACCCCTGGGTGTGGCTCCAGCATTGAGGGAACACAGGCTCTGGGCCGTGAGGCCTGGGCTGGGGATGCTCTAACTTTAGGGTGGGTGTGACAGGGGCTAGGCTTGGGAGAGGCTGGCCCGGGACTTCCACCATCCCTTGGGGATAGTGGCCCGAGTGCTTGGGGGCTCAGAGTCCAGTGCTCAGAGTGGGCAGGCTGAGTGTGGGGTCAGGATGCAGTGCCTGAGCCTCCAGCCACCTGGGGAAGCAGTGGCATGAAAGCTGTAGGGAGGCTGGAGACAGTCACATGCAGGACGTCCTCACTGTAGAGGGAGCAGGACGGCTGTTGGCCATGGGCTCCCTGGGTTCGGGGCAAGACTTGGGCCTGGGGATGGGGTGGCGGCTGAGCAACAGGGCCTCATAGGATTCCTGAGCCCCATCCATTCCTGCGCAGACTGATGGGGCAGCACCTTCCTGACAGGCATTCTGTGAAGACCAGACAGGGCGGCAAGGGGCTGGCTCAAACCCCAGGTTGCTGCTGTCACGGGCCCCGTGTCGTTGCTCTGGCCACAGGTGTTTGGGTGTGAGGTGAGGGCTCTGCCAAAGGCTGAGCAGAGCTGGGGCTCTCAGGGCTTCTCCACCTGCCCCTGGAGAACGGGCTCCCCAGTAGAACTCCAGCCCAGGCCCTGCCCCTGCCCTTTAGGTCAGAGCACCCTCTTCCCTGGGTCCCAGCTATGCCAGGTTTCAGCCCTGGCTGGAGCTTCTGTAAGTGACATCACCACTTGCAGAAGAAATAAAACTACTGACTAATATGTAATGAATGCCTACTATGTGGGGGGCACTTTGTGTGGCCAGATGATCACTCATCCACTTGTCCTCAGTGTCCTTGTTGATAAAACAGGAAAGTACCAGGACCTAGCACATAGCAGGTGCTTATTAAAAGTCACTATTTATAGCACTTTTTGCTACTGAAAACAACCTAATTGGTTTTTT